TTAATTGATACACAACATACTAAGATAATATATGGGTTCTCACAGTCCAGTGAACCACATACTACTCATTCTCATTTTGTATATGTGTTAGGAAGCAGACTGCTAATAGAGAACAACCATGACCTAAATATAAGTAGATTAAAAAGTTTAGTATTCACACACCTTATTTTTTGGACTATAAGGCACACATACACCCCAAAAGTGGGTGGAAATGTTTGTGCATCTCATAGAGTGAATGTTGCCGAAGCCCCATCCACCTGCTGGCCTCCGCCCTTTGGCCTCTACCTCCCAGAAATTTCTGGGAGGCAGAGGCCAGAAATTTGGGGTTTTCCTCTCCAAAAGCTAGGTGTGTCTTGTAGTCCAGAGCACCTTATAGTGTGAAAAGTATGGTAATCATATTTAATAATAATTAAATATAAAACAATTCTAAGTAATTTTATACATAATAATTGCTTATCTGTGATTTTGATTTGAGGAAGCTAAGCTCTCCTTTATCTTAGACCTTAGGAAAGCACTTTCAGGTTGCTCTTGGGATCCTCTTTGAGAAAATTAGTCAGACTGATGCATTTGTTTAGAAAAATCAAAAGTTAGCATGTATAAAAGTGCAAAATGATGAATAGGAAGAGCCAATCCTCAGACTTGCGGTAAGCATAGGAGTTTCTCTAGGAGGCAGGAATGAAAACAGCTTGAATTAATTCCAAAGTGAGATTTGCAGACGTAAGAACAAAAAGATTAAAGGGATGGCTCATGGGAAAGCTGATTTCAAGAACTAATAATGGAAAGGCATGACCTGCTGTGTGCTTGGCCACTGTTCTCTACTCTCAGAGTTCCTCAGCATCTTGACAGCCGTGCACTTACCTGTTCAAATATAAGTTCTTGAAATGTGTTTGTCAGGGTAAGATTCTCATGCAGATATCTAGAGATTCAGCAGCGTGACATCACTGTTAAAAAGGCAAATGGACTTTTGGCTATGTCAGTAGAAAGAAGTAATTCCATTCTATATTGAATGGTTTGATTCTGAGCAAGATATTTTTAAAGAGATTCTGAAAAATTGTGGCAAATACAAAAAAAGCAGTGAGGTTGATCAGAAAGAAGATGCTTAAGAGAAAAGCTTGAGAACAGTGGATAGGTTTATCTTGAGAAAAGTTACTGAGAGACATGATAGCAATTTCAACTATTCTAATGAGTGTCACACTGAATAAGACTAAAATCTTTCCCTTGCTGCCTCAAAGTGCAGTCCACAGAATAATTTTGTTATGTGAAATAAGACATATTCCAGCTGAATGTTAGGAAAAGCTGTTTAATTGGATAGAGCAATTCAACATTGAACCAGTGATCAAGAGACATTCTATATTCCCCTTTGCTCGAGTTGTTCAACAGCTGGTCAACCATCTTTTGAGATGGTTTAATAGAGTCCCACCTGAATAGGAAACTATACTCAGGGGCCTAAACATTTCTTCCATTTAGGATTATATGACTTTCTCCTTGTTTTTGCCACTGACAAGACTGATAGAAAGTTTTTCAAACAGGTGGTGCACTGATCCTGCTGTGCTTTGCTTCTTGGAGGGAAAAAGTATTGCAATAAGGTAAAATTAATTTTTCTGGCTCTACTTTTACACAGTGTTTCTCAATCTTGGCAGTTTGAAGATCTGTGGATTTTATACTGGGTGGGGAATTCTGGGAGTTGAAGTCCACACCTTCAAGTTGTAAAGGTTGAAAAATACTGCTCTAGCAGGTGACGCCATTGAATCCTGGCATACAGTAATTCTTTTTTTTTTAACAACTAGATATCCAAGGGAAAGAAATAAATTGATAGCGCTTCCAGAAGACTACAGCTGCCTTTTGAACCAAGGATCTCAATTTAGGTGAGAAATCTGCTGATTAGAAACACTTATTATTTCACTGAACTGAATTAAGGATAAATAAAAAATCAATCTCAATCCATTATTTTTCTCTTTGCTGTCCATTTAAAGAAACAAATCAACATATGATAGCTAAATTTTCAATACAGTTTCAGATTGAATCATCAGATTCTAATTGACAGTTCCAGATTTCTTTGTGAACACACTAACATTTGAATATTAAAACCAACAGTGATTTCATATTTCTGAAACTGTCCCAAGTCTCTTAGGTATAAGTCTGTATTAATATAAAACTGTTTGCAGCTAGCTAGTTTCACTCTTCATTGTAGCTGATTTGTATTTGCAGTGAAATATAACAATGCCAAAAAATACATGCTATTATCTACTTTCTAATTGTCTCATTGTACGAATATCAGTGATGAATAGTGTTTGTTGATGATTTCGCACAGTAGTTCCCAACGAGGGGCCAACACCCCACAGGAGGGCAATTTGATTTTTAATGGGGGCAATTTGAACCTTGTTTAAACCAAGCTTAAACAAGTTTTAGGCTTCCTCTTGTGAATAGAATTCACTTTCTGAGTAAAATAAGAATTATATGTTACAAGGGGGACATCAGGATTTTAGAGATGCTTAGGTGGGGCATGGCCAAAAAAAGGTTGGGAACCACTGATTTAGCACAATATAAGAGTATCTTTCAAAATAGCTATCTTGGTTCCAAATCTCATTGTCTAATTAATTTTACATTTCCAGGTGCCCTCGATCTTCTGATGATGAAACCAAGCATCCTGTCCTATGTTTGTTTTGTGGGGCTATGTTGTGTTCTCAAAACAGCTGCTGCCAGGTGCTAGTAAATGGAGAAGAGTTGGGGGCTTGCAATTCACATGCAATTTCTTGTGGTGCTGGAGTTTGTATTTTTCTCAAGTAAGTGACAGCTGGAAAATAAAGCTGATCTAAGCTAATTGGGGCATGATGATGGATTCCCAATCTTGTGCATGCCAGATATATTGGAGAATAGCATCCATAATTTAGATGCCAACTCAAGGAAGGAACTGGGTAAAAATAATGTTTCTGCCTTCTTTTATTCATGGAGGGATAAGCAGCTAATTTGGATGGATTATAGTGCAGTTAACAAAGACTGGGATGATTCCTAAAATTGGATTGTGTCTTCAGTAAAAAGGAATCATAGATCTATGTTTCTCAACCTTTACCAACTTTAAGATATTCCCAAGCTGGCTGGGGAATTCTGGGAATTGAAATTGCCTTACAATATTGCCTTACAATATTCAGA